GCAATATATTGTCGTCATTTTCTAATGTTGGTGTTTTGTTACCATTCGAGTAGATCTAAGTTTCACATATTTACGTTGATCTTCTACTCGAGAAAATAAGTCGTCTTCAGTTCATTTACGATACTATCAATACAGTCATCATTATAGAACATAAAATTGAGAATGGAAGTGGGGAATATGTCAAAGAGACAACAACCCGACCAAAGAGCAGACAACGGCCGAAGGCCACCAATGGGTCTTCAATGCAGCGAGAAAATCCCGCACCCGGAGGTGGTCCTCAGCTGGCCCCTAAATAAAATTGTGTGCTAGTTCAGTGAAAATGGACGTCACACTAAACTCCAAAACATATAAATCAATAAAAATAAAAAACATACTAGACTAACAAAGGCCAGAGGCTCCTGACTTGAGATAGGCGCAAAAATGCGGCGGGGTTAAACATGTTTTGTGAGATCTCAACCCTACCCCTATACCTCTAGCCAATGTAGAATAAAGAAACACATAGCAATACGCACAGTAAAACTCACTTTAAAAGAAGTCCGAGTCCGATGTCAGAATAGGTAACAAAAGAAACTAAGCAAAATGACAATGATACATAAATGAACAAAGGACTACTAGCAGTTACTGACATGCCAGCTCCAGACCTCAATTAAACTGATTGAAAGATTATTTCTTCATCATATGAAAATCAAGTACAATCCCTCCCGTTAGGGTTTTAGTATCATACCATCATAAAATATACGAGAAGAACATAACCCGTATCATGCCAACAACTGGTTTTAGAATAAATGTGTTTATTTCCGATGCAAAGACCCTATAAGTGAATCAATATTAATACCAAAATATGCAATCCTTAATGACTTGACAACAGTATCGTAACTATATCCTTTCCGAATAAGTCTGTTTAAAGGTTTGGTTAGCTTTTGAGGCGAATGCCAACATTATTGTGCTTTGTAAAAAATATTACCATAAAATATTGGATGTGAAATACCTGAACGTATAAGATGTCTGCATGTTGATTTATATTTACGAATGATGTCCTTGTACCGATGATAAAATTTAGTAAATGTTTTGACTAGTTTGTGATATCGAAAACTCTGGTGTAATAATTTTTCAGTAATACATAGATTTCTTTCGTTGAAATCAAACACGTTGTTACATACACAAGCGAATCGAACAAGTTGAGATATATAAACACCATAAGATGGCGACAAGGGAACGTCACCACCTAAAAATGAATAATTAACAATAGGAAATGAAAAATCATCTCTTTTATCATAAATTTTGGTATTAACATGCATGTATAAAGAAATCACGAGGATAATATATTAATGCATTTCAATGGCAATTTTCTTTAAGTTATATTTGGAATACAAACGGACATAAGAAAGCACATAATAACATAAAACAAGTAGTTGTGGTATGATTGCCAATGAGACCACTATCCACCCGAGACCAAATGATGTAGATGTTAGCAGCTATAGGTCGCCGTATGGCCTTCAACAATAAACAAAACCAATACCTCTTAGCTAGCTATAAAAGGCTCCTAAAAATTAAATGTAAAGCAATTCAAATGAGAAAACCAACGGACTGATTTATGTTCAAAACAATAAACGAAAAACAAATATGATATATAGTAACAAACGACAGCCACTGTATCACAGACTCTGGACTTGGAGCAGACACATACAGAATATGGCGGGGTCAAACATATTTGCGGGATCCCAACCCTCCCCGCGCCTTAACCTGGGCAGTGGTGTAATAGCACATCAAAGAAAAACACGATAAAAATCAATTGAAATGGACTCATCAGATCGATACAAAGCAAAATTAATCAGGTAACATAAAAACCAAAGACACAAAGACCTATCTGTGAGTACTCGCATTTACTGGAAGCTAGTTCCAAGCCAATAACAGCTAATAAAAAAAATCAGAAATCCAAGACAAAACGTTACTTTTGCTTTTATTTCAGAATGGAATTCTACTGCCAATATTCATCTTCATCCATCTTATTCTCTGTTATCAAGAACGATTATTTCTTGTCTAGTCGGGTCAAAAATAAGGTCGTACACAGTAAAAATGTACTTAAACCAAACAAAATAACACGTGTATCTTGGAATTTAAATTATTTTTTTAACCACATTTGTAAATGTACAATTTCTCATACTAAATACTAGATCGACAGAGCTTAAACGGGTTATGTGATACTACACAATACATTTATACAATATGTCAAAAACATAATCATTTTTATTCGTTCGTAATAATGATTGATAAAAATGGACATTATATCGACCTACTTCTAATTTGAAATTGAGAGCCTTAATTTGTATATTTCAATTCGAAACTTTGTAAGTAATTTTCATAGTAATTTCATTTATAGTTTATTAAAAAAATAAGTTAGAACTGCTGTCCGTGTTAACATTTGTCCCGTGGAGGATCGAAGACTGTATGGTGCCATCTCGATATCGTTTTGTTAGTTTTGTAGTTGGCTTACTGTTTCATGGGCGTATAACTCCCATATCTCTTTTTTTTCTTCAGACATAATCTGGTTCAAAATAAATACACCAGATGTATAGTTTGCTAAAAAAAAAATGTAAAAACAAAAAATATTTTTTGACTAGCTGCTACGTTTGTCAACTTTAGGTAGACGTCTTTATGGGCATACGATACAAGCTAATTTTCACCTAGTCAATTCAAATATGTAATAAAAAAAATATCTTCATGTGCTACTTAAGAAATAAATGGGGTCGAAATTTTAGACTTTTACTCAAAATTTCGGTTTTTTGGACATTTCTACTCTTTGGATAGACATACCTAACTTTTTTGTTTCAAAAGATAAACAAAAGCGGATTTTTGTAAAAACATTTGGAAAATCTTCTTTACATAAGTATGCTCCAAATTTGTATAACAATTCTTGAAAAAAATAATTTTTGTCAAAGTTTCATGATTTTAGAAAAAAAACAGCATTTTTTGCTGTATATTTATCTAATTTAAAAAAAAAAACATCGGTGACTTTTTCATAACAAGATTGCACACGCTGAAATGTCTCGCCTGTTTTATTGACCATTGATTTTATGTTGAAAGTCTTAAAGATAAAGATTTTACTACAAGTATTACAAAAACTTAACATTTTTAAAGATCCATGACAATAAGTTCGAGGTCAGATAAAAACTGTCACACAGACATGTACACCTTATAATTATTCCATACACCAAATATAGTTGACCCATTGCTTATGGTAATTAAAAAACAGACCAAAACACAAAAACTTAATGTTAACCTATGAACCATGGAAATGAGGTCAAGGTCTGATGACACCGGCTAGACAGACATGTACACCTTACAATCATTCCATAAACCAAATATAGTTGACATATTGCTTATAGTACTTGAAAAACAGACCAACACACAAAAACTTAACATTGACCAATGAACCATTAAAATGAGGTCAAGGTCAGATGACACCAGCGCTAGACAGACATGTACACCTTACAATCATTCCATACACCAAATATAGTTGACCTATTGCTTACAGTACTTGAAAAACAGACCAAAACATAAAAGATTAACAATAACCAATGAACCATGAAAATGAGGTCAAGGTCAGATGAACCCTGACAGTCTGAAATGTACCCCTTACACCACATATAGTTGACCTGCGTCTTGTAGTATCTGCGAAACGGACCTAATCATTAACTTTAACCTTGATCACTGATCCATGCATTGAGGTCTAGGTCAGGTTAACACTGTCTGACGGACATGTAGATGTTGAAAGGAACCCATATACCAAATATAATTATCCTATCACTCATAATAAGTGAGAAATTCACATGACCAAAAAACTGTAATTTTTTTCAAGCAGTCACTGAACCATGAAAATGAGGTCAAGGACAATGGGCATATGACAGACGGAACATAAGGTATCTGCATACAAGGTATGAAGCAGCCAGGTCTTTTACCTTGTGAAATATAAAGCTTTATACACATAGTTTACGCTGCCGCAGCCGAATAGTAATACCTAATTCTCGCATACTGTGACTTTTGTCGCAGGCGAGACAAAAATTGGTACAAATAGTATTCATACGTAATAAAACCTAATGCCATTTTAAAAAAGAGGGGTCCATAAACTCGTTTTCAAGTTAAATCAGTCTGAATGATAAAAATCAGTCGAAAAATGCATCTTTTCCAGACATGTCACAGTTTGACATCGCGAAAATAACATTTTACGTTATCAACGTCATTACCTCCCCTGTAACTGTATCGTATGCTCTTAATTAACCATTTGACTAGTGACGCCTCTCACGATATCACCGGCAGAATACATCATGGTCATACGGAGAAAAGATTCTTGGTGAAACAGAAGCATGTTTTTGTAATTTATTTGATCGAATTCCAGTTTAAAAGAGCAGTGGCTATATAAATTCTATCTTAGGAAACACACGAAAAGTAAAGATGTATAATGTACGGTTTACCAATTATGCCCACAAAATTTGGTTAAAGAGGCTTTTTTCTTCTTAGTCAATTGGTAAATTGTGTAACTTCGTTTTTTCGTAAGCACCTTCAAACAAACTATCAAAACACAATATTAAGGTGAAACAAATATGTATTAATTTTGATCTAACCCATGACAAATTTGATCAAAACCATGACGAATTTCTACACTTAACCATTTAATTATTAAATAACTGAACCATGTCAATCGCTTAACCAAATCATATCAATTTCGATATTTTGGTTATCCTGCGTTTAATTTAATGTAGATCGTTTGACTTACAGTCATACATCTTATTTGCTTTGTATTTGCTAATTTGAAAAGAACTGAGGCAATCGTTCTGGGAAGTAACCTAACTAAACCATGACCAACTTAACGCTTAATAGATATTTGGCCATTGTGCTAAAACAAAATAAGCTATTCATGTAGAACACACCTGAAATGACATTAAATGAGAACAAGTGAAAATAATTTTACCCGAAGTATCATATGAAAAACAAACCTTGACTCTTTTTGTCACCAGTTTGAAGTTATAAAGGCTTTTTATTGGGCCCAGGCTTTTTAGCTCTTTTCTTTGCACTCTGTCTTTTCTTAGCAGTTCCAATTTCAACTTCCGCTTCTTTTTTCGCCTCGTTTTTCTTCTGCTTTGTCTTTCTCATATGCCTTTAACAAAGAAATACATCTAAAGTTAAACTAATTTCTACAAGTTATAGCTTTCTAAAAAATCTCTGAGCTGCTGTGCTGCATTATACTTTTAAGTAAGATGTGGTTTATGTTGTTGTTAAAGTAAGAAAAAGATGCTATTTTTTTTTCATTTGTCCGTACACTCATGAGTGTGGTATTATAAGCCCGTCTAGATGGGACGTATGATGTTATAATGTACCATGAACACTTCCTACAAAAACTCAAACTTGCTTTAACCAATTCTCACAAATTCTAAACGGAAAATTAGGATTGATACAAGAAAGCTTCCTTTTGATTTTAAAATTCTTTGGTGGCGTTATTCCTAAGATACCGTTTTATTTTGAATAGTTATAATTTGTCATTCCACAGTTATGGGACTTTGCCGGTTAGATTAATAAAAGGTAATATTCTACATGTCATGAAATAGATCTAGTATGCTTAAATCAATGAGAAATCAAATCAAATTAAGGAATAGTCGCCCTCATGCAAAGCTCTGATTCCTTGTCCGATTTAGGCTTTACCTTATGCCCTTTTAGTTGATCAGCTTTTCAACGTTTGTATTAGCTTTTGAATTTTCAAATTTATTGGCCTCGAGCATAACCGAAGAGACATTAATTGTCGAAATGCGCATCTGATGCAATAAAATTGGTACCGTTTATATTATTACTATAAACTTTACACTTGGTATTGGTGAATCAAGACTCGGTTTGGATTTTAAAAATTTTATAGTTTGACGTTCCAGAGCAAAGGGACTTTTAACAGTAATTTTTGACGCAATGTTTATTTGCATTTCGATGTCCTCATGCATGTATTCCTACACAGCCATTTTACTACCTTGTTATTAGATGCCTCCTAAGTTTTCTAGTTCATTCCCACAACATTTATAATGCACAATTCGGTGGCATCATGTGCTCTTGATGTATCTGTTTTATTTCAATATATTACCTGGTTTAATCAAACGGAGTAGATGTATTCTGACAAAAATCTTGAAGATTATTGGCATTAATATGTAATTTAAGGGTTGATATACATGTATATATATATATAGTCGTATAAGCACTCAGAAACTTGTTCATCTTTGTCAGGCGATTAAGGACTGAATCGGAGAGCCCCCTAAAGTGGCTACATAATTATATGCTTAATGTATATACTTTTTATAAGTCCCACTCCCACCTTTGGCTTGTTGACACCCCCTTTTCAAAATCCTTGATCTGCATCTGCCTCGTATTTATCAATATAAATTTGACGTGACATTATACATGTAATATAGCAAGGCGAATCAGTATAAAGGCAAACATTTTTATTTATTGGGTATCGGATAGGATCGTGAATACCTATTCTGAATTTTTTCCGTATTTAATATCTAAGACTTAATAAAAAGATTGTATTTTCATGCATAAAAGTAAGAAACTGACTAGATATTATTGCGTTTGATAGCCTTTAAAGTTAATAATCATACTTACTTTTATATATTTAAAAACTGATAACCTAGGTTACGCATGAGCTAACTGTGTCCAGTTATTAAAAAGGAAAGATTGTCAGTATTGAAAGTAAGACAAGGGAGCCGCCAGGAAAAACTATTTCGTTGACTGATTCGTCCCACAAAAAAAATTCATATATAGGTAAAACGATGATTTACAATTTTTAAATCTATAACATGAAATCGAACAGACCTAGAAAAATAGTCATTACACGATTGCACCTGCTTGTCTGTCTATTTATATTTTTATATTTATGTTTATATTAGGTCATAACAGGCGGAAACCCAGTTGAAATTAAACAAAAGACATGGAGATATTTGTAAACTTTTAAATAATAGAAAAATTTTCACAAAACAGTCGATTGTGGTATGTTCAAATACAGTTGGATCTTTTTTGTGCATAAGCATGAATTCCGCCGAAAAAAATCCAAAGAAAGATAACAGAGTGATCCCTTTAAAGCAGTTATTTGCATCTCTGCCCCCGGTGCCAGTTTTGTTGAGAAAAAAAATCCAGAAAATGGGCAATAATTTCATCAAAAAGAGAAAGTCGAGTAGACCTTTTTTGTTTAGGCTTGTTTGAGTTGACTATTATGACTTGAAAACGTATAAAAGAAAAATATTTCACACATCACCTCGCTTCAGATTCTATTAATTTTATATTTTGAGGCTCTAGGTTGATATAATAACATTAAAAATTTACAGAACTAATAAATATAGATAATGAAAAGTTAATTTTTTTATTCAATAATGATAAAGTTTTTGAAAGTGTCGCCAGAACCTGCTATAGCATTTTAATCAGAAGAAATGTTTTTTTTATATAATTGATTATGCTGTATTTTAATGATATTCATAAGCAAATATATATTATATAATATGTAAAATATCTAATTGTTTTTTAACAGTATTGCTTGTACAGTCTCTCATAAAACTTTATTTTTTGTGTGTGTTATCTAGAATCTGCCCTTCCACGAAATATTTAATTAGAATTTTTTTTTTATATTTTTGAACTTTCGAAAATTCCTCCGGACAACCGATCAGATACAAGTTTTAAGTTGATCAAATGCATAAAAGTGCATGAAATGATGCTAAATAGCTAGTAAATACAGTTATCTTTTAAAATACAACTTGCATATAAAGATCATGATTATGCTATGTGGATATATTTATCGGTTTTCAAGAGCTAAATTGACAGCGCGTCATCACTACAATGGCTTCCATTTTTACGATTTTAACGTGGGGCTACAGCTGCTATGCATCTGTATTTAGACTTTTCGATAAAATTGTATACTTTTATCATCAAATTTTATCTTATCCCCCAAGTTTTCTGTATATTAAATTTGATTTATATGTTAAAAGGGGGATAACTCTTAATGTTTATTATGTGTATGCAGCTGTTAGTCCCCAGTTTTTCCAATGTAATATTTCTTTTTTCATATTATATATTAGTTTTAATAAATAGTTTTAATAGCACTGGATCTTTATTTAGTCTGAGGATACAATTATTCCACTTGAAAAACAACACATAGATACCTAGTCACTTATCACAATACTTGATATCAAAGGAGATGCAAGGTATACATCAGTGAGATAGTTTTGTCTTGGAAACTTAAGACTTTATTAAGGTCAAATACAGTCTTCAACAATAAAGTTATTTCGCTCTCTGTCAACTTAAGGATGAATATAAATTAACAATTATGTGGATAATTGATGTTTATATAAAGGATTATCTCAGTTTAGTCATAAGTTAGGGTTTCCCCATTTTGTACCTCTAGATCATGTTAGCCTCATTTTCAACTTAGTTTGGGATATACGTCATCTATTTTGCTGCTTTCAGATCAATAGCAGTGCCCTTTTGTCGTCAGATATTTTCATAACGTTTTGATTGGATTTTCATATTTTAAATTTCCGCCACCATCCCCACCTCTCTCCTTTTGTTGCCAGTGCCTCTGGGGATTATATAGTAGTCATTATTAATTGTTTTATATACATGTACTTATAGCTGTAATTTTATGACTTTAGTTCTTTGTATTCATGTTTTTCTAAATATATTTTGATATTTTATACTACTCATGCTGACGTATGATTTTCTTTTATTCTCTACTCATGCTAACGTATGAGTTTCTTTTATACTACTCATGCTGACGTTTGAGTTTCTTTTATATTTTCTCATGCTTACGTATGAGCTCTTTATTTGCTTCTCATACTGACGTATGAGTTTCTTTATACTTTCTCATGCTGACGTATGAGGTCTTATTTTCTACTCATGCTGACGTATGGGTTTCTTTTATACTACTCATGCTGACGTATGAGTTTCTTTATACCTCATCATGCTGACGTATGATGTCTCATTTTCTACTCATGCTGACGTATGAGGTCTTTTCTATACTCATGCTGACGTATGAGGTCTTTTCTATACTCATGCTGACGTATGAGTTTCTTTTACATCTTCTCATGCTTACGTGTGAGCTTTAATCTTTTCATGCTGATGTATGACCTTTTTACTCTCTACTCATGCTGACGTATGGGTTGTTATTTTATTTTTCATGCTGCATGTACTTATGAGCTCTTTAATGTATTGTCAAGTTTGAGCTCTTATACTTTGTACTCATGCTGACCTTTGGGTTTGTGTTTATTTTTTATTTTCTTACTGAGGTATGAAGTTGTTAAAATTTTAATCATGCTGGACTTTTCGATAAAATTGTATACTTTTATCATCAAATTTTATCTTATCCCCCAAGTTTTCTGTATATTAATTTTCATTTATATGTTAAAAGGGGGATAACTCTTAATGTTTATTATGTGTATGCAGCTGTTAGTCCCCAGTTTTTCCAAAGTAATATTTCTTTTTTCATATTATATATTAGTTTTAATAAATAGTTTTATTAGCACTGGATCTTTATTTAGTCTGAGGATACAATTATTCCACTTGAAAAAAAACAACACATAGATACCAAGTCACTTATCACAAATACAGTCTTCAACAATAAAGTTATTTCGCTCTCTGTCAACTTAAGGATGAATATAAACGATTATAAAAATTAGGTGGCGTAATAGGGAGATAATTTTGACGAAGTAGAATCCTGACTGATTAGACAATCGTCAGTCTTCAGAGATCATCTCGATGGTTTATTAAATGGCGTCTAGTCTGAAGTACACACGAAATGTTGATACATTATAACGAGTTCATGCATTGTTAATTGTTTCTTTTTTGTTGGAGTATTGTAATTTGAATATACATTTAAGTATGTTATAAATTAAATATGAGCCAAATCGGTGATCATGAACTTGACAGCTAAGTTCCTTTAAAAAAAACATGAATCAATCAATTAACTTGATATATAAAGATTAGAAATTCATGTACTTATATCAAAGCTGCATTGGAGTTTTTAATGATAACATATGAAGTTGGTTGCTTACTAAATTGTTTTTAAAAACTTTGAAATGATACAAGTTTGTTTTATGTTTTTGTTACGCCAAAATGAAAACCAAAGACTGGTTTACATTACCAGCGTGAACATTTCACGAATTTAAAAAAAAATGTGTAATTTTGTTCTGTACAATGGCATACATTGTAAATTCTTTGAACAACTTTTGCTCGTATCTAAAACGGGTAAAGTAATACAGTTATTAATCATTTTAATCTTATTAAAATTAAAATCGCAATGAATTTTATACTTGAAAATGTTATAGCCAATGAGGAACATTACATTCAACAAACTGTGTGTTTTCATTTGATCTTGTGATGCATGGATTCCAGTTTCTCATTAACTGTTCATGAAATGATATCATGATAGTTCTACAGTAATTTAATACGTTGCATGCTAACTTGGCATTATACCTATTTCAGAGTGAATGACACGTTTTCCCGGAATAACCATCATGAATAACGAAGCGTCAGTCTGTCATTCAGGTAATATGGACAAACTGTGACGGATAAGCTTTGATCACAAAGGTTTTGAGTATAATCATACTATACAAAAGATGTTACACGGCACAACTTCATTTTCTCCCACGAGCTTCTCCGTTTATATTAATTTGAAAACACAACTTAATTCTCCTGCTGGAATAGCCAATATTAGTTTGTCCATATATATTATGTTGACCATTTGTGTTTTTTTTAATCATTCCAAGTTTTGTATATATTTGTGAGCTTTTATAACATTATTTTTTTTTCTGTGTCACATTGTTAAGATTTAGCCACCAAGAGGCAGCTAGTGGCATCTACGTATGTAAATCCTTGTTAGACATGAATATTAATACCATCTGGACTTGCCGTCTAGATTAAAGACAAATGCTGTCAGCAGGAAAAGGACTGGAAAGTGTGTATTTGCAGTAAATAAAAACTTATTTGATACAAAATACAGCAAGGTTAGGTGCATTGCGAATACTGAATTGCGCGACACCAAAGCTAATAAAAACAACTTAAAAGGAAAATCCCGGAAATTGAAAAATCATTTCCTTTTATATACCAAAATGTTATAACTATCCCATGGCTAACTTTTACATACATATGAAATGAAAAAATTAAGCTGAATGACAAGATGGCACAACATTTTAACAACTTGTCAGTAGATTGTGAGTATGACGTACTTACCAGGTGAGAACACCTCCTGCAACAAGAGCTAATAATACAACAGAGAGGAAAATGTAAATAATAATGTCATCTGAATCTTCTTTCTTATTCGTAGGTGTAATTTCTGGTCCGGTGATGTTTGCAACGAATGGTGAACTCTCATCACCTAAAAAATTCAATTATTGTTGCTTTATTGCTATATGATACTTTAAAGGTACTAATGAGACCAGTTTAATGATTTTTTTTTATTAATGTGTCTTTAAGAGAAGCCCAAATAACCTGCTTTTCAATGCTTTTTGTCTAATCACTATTTCATTGATAAAATAGCAGAGTAGAATACATATTCATCATAGTGTTCCGTCTGTAATAAAAAATACAAAAAAAAAATATATTTGCAATTAAAGCCTAAAGTCAAATATAAAAAGAAATGAACTCAATTTTGCTGCACAAGATACTCAAGGATAAATCTAAAGAACAAGTGTTCAGACCCTCAATCTAATTGTCCTTAAAAAAGTTTAAGTATGACGAAAATCAATCCGAAAAAAATTGGGTTGATACTGAAGAATTTAAAGAAAATAAAGCGAACATAACAAGTTAATTTGTGAACTCTTAGGAAGCATTCAAACATGTGGCTATGGAGAATTGCCTTCGAATAAGCATTCCAACAAGTGACAAGGGAGAGTTGCCTACGAATAATATTACAAGTGGCTAGGGAGATTGTCAACGAATAATCAATCTAACATTTGTATTGTTAGGAAGCATTCCAACAAGTGGCTAGGGAGAGTTGCCCACGAATAAGCATTCTAACAAGAGGCTAGGGAGAGTTGTGTACGAATAAGCAAGATAACATGTGTATTGTTAGGAAGCATTCCAACAAGTAGCTATTGAGAATTGCCTACGAATAAGCATTCCAACAAGTGCCAAGGGAGAGTTGCCTACGAATAATATTACAACAAGTGGCTAGGGAGATTGTCAACGAATAATCAATCTAACATTTGTATTGTTAGGAAGCATACCAACAAGTAGCTAGGGAAAGTTGCCTACGAATAAGCTTTCCAATAATTGTTAGGGAGAGTTGCCTACGAATCAGCATTCCAACAAGTGGCATAGGAGAGTTGTCTACGAATAAGCATTCCAACAAGTGACTAGGGAAGGTTGGCTAGGAATAAGCATTCCAACAAGTAGCTACGGAGAATTGCCTACTAACAAGCATTCCAACAAGTGGCTAGGGAGAGTTGCCTACGAATAAGCAAGCTAACATGTGTATTGTTAGGAAGCATTCCAACAAGTGGTTAGGGAGAGTTGCCTACGAATACGCAAGCTAACATGTGTATTGTTAGGGAGCATTTAGTTTTCTCAGTTGAATTGTTTCATATTTTTCATGTCGGGGCCTTTTATAGCAGACTATACGGTATGGGTTTTTCCCTTTGTTAAAGGCCGTACGGTTGCCTATAATTACTTACATCCACTTTATTTGAACTTTGTCCCATTGGCAATCATACCTCATCTCCTTATTTTTATAACATGTGTATTGTTAGGAAGCATTCAAACAAGGGGCTAGGGAGAGTTGCCTACGAATAAGCAAGCTAACGTGTATTGTTAGGAAGCATCCAAACTAGTGGCTAGGGAGAGTTGTCTACGAATAAACAAGCTAAGATGTGTATTGTTAGGAAGCATCCAAACAAGTGGCTAGGGAGAGTTGCCTACGAATAAACAAGCTAACGTGTATTGTTCGGAAGCATCCAAACAAGTGGCTAGGGAGAGTTGCCTACGAATAAACAAGCTAACGTGTATTGTTCGGAAGCATCCAAACAAGTGGCTAGGGAGAGTTGCCTACGAATAAGCATTCAACGTTACAAAACACTACTATCATCCAATAAATGTAGCATGTGGCTTAGCTGCTCGTTGAATAACGTTTTAATTTAAGAAATGATCTAATTCCCAAAGGTTCTTCCTTTACCGAAGAAAATGATAAACACAAAAAACTGACTGAAAAGCTGTTCTAAGTTGTACTGTGTATATTTGAGTCAATTTAAATGTGTAATAACAAAAAACCGAACTCCAAGGTAAATTCAAAAAAGGGGAAATCCATAAAAACTGACGAAACTAGACAGTCTACTATATTAACAACGGAATAGCTTGAAAACAACTGTCGTATTCCTGACTTGGTACATGCATATTCCTAATAAAATATGTTGGGTTTATGTTTTCATATTTAGCTAAACCTCTGATCTGTATGACAGTTGACTTCTGTTCCGTTATATAGACAAAATTAGTAAGAGCAACCAAACAAACATTGGGGAACAAAAATTTGATCAGCAAACATTATGCATGTACATAAATGTAATAGGAAGTACAGACAATGTCTTTAAACTATACATTGAATGATGCATGATCCTCTATGGTAAAGAATGTTTAGAAAAATCAATCTTGAAATCATTTAATGACTGATTTTTCATCGAACATCCCCCAAGTACGGTATATTTAATGGAGGTAGACATGAGTACGGTACAATAAATATACGTATGAACAAGTAGAGAAGATGTGATTTCTGGCTGCAGAAGGATAAGTGTAAAACATAATATCTCTATGCCATTCGGCGGGGATGATAAACTAGAAGCCCTAAAGAGCATGTGTAGCTCACCTAGGTCTATGTGCATCTTGTGCATCTTCAACAATGGATACTTTCCAAAATTGTGGACTAGAATAGAATTCATGACAATAATCTCTATATTTAGGATCTTGTATTGCTTTTTAGTTTTTACAGTTTCTGTCTATCTTTGATAATTTTCAAGATAAAAGGCAAAAAGCAAAAAAAATGGTAACAATTATAATTAAAAAGCAAGAACTCCAATAAGGAGTCGACTCACGATTTCGGCCATTTGACTTGTTTGTAGATCTTAATTTGCTGATAATTTTTGCTATTAAAAGTGTCTTTCTTTCTATAATAGTTTTCAAGATAATAGACAAAAGTTCTAAAAATGAATAAAAATCGTCATAAAAAGCAATAACTCCTGTGAGGATTCGACTGATGATTATGACATTAAACTTACTCGTAGATCTTGTCTTGCTGATCATTTTTGCTCGTTTAAGTTTTTGTCTATCTTTTGTATTTTTTAACATATAAGGCAAAAACGCAAAAACAATATGGTAAAAATCATTATGAAATGGGAAAAACTCCAATAAGAAGTTGTCAGACAATTTTGGCAACGTTGACTTATTTGTAGATCTTCCTGATCATTTTTACTATTTCAAGTTTCTCTTTATCTATAATAGTTTTCAAGATTAGAGTTGAAAACTCTAGAAATGGGTAAAAATTCGTCATTAAAGAGCAATAACCCCAATAGCGAGTCATCCGACGATTTCGCTCAGTTTACTTATTTGTAGATCTTGTCTTGCTGATTTGACTATTGAAGTTCCTATCTATCTATTATGGTTTTTAAGATCACCGGACAGATTTTTAAACCAGATACCCCAATGATGATTGTGGCCAAGCTTGCTTAAATTTCGTCTCGTAGTTTCAGAGGAGACGTTTTTTGTAAAAGTTAACGACGATGGACGACGGACGCCAAGTGATGAGAAAAGCTCACTTGGACCTTTGGGCCAGGTGAGCTAAAAAGGGACATTTCAACTGTAAATAGACCTAAACAAAAGGATAATCCCTTACTTAGAACATGATTTACATTCATTCTTCACAATCAAGAAATATCATATCCTACAATTTCATTGGTCGAGAGCACTTTGCTATATTCTAAAGTCAAAAATTCTATAACTTGAAAAACACAATTGTTCTACCTCAACATTGAATACAGGAATTAAAGTATGGTCCGATCTAACGATTGAGAATGAAGTAAAAAATAATAATAGAAATACCACCATCAAAGATTTCCAACATAACACTACTCAAAATATAAAATAATAACTAGAGAATTAACTGTAACTCGAAGCGAGTAATATTTCCGATTTTTTATTTAGTTTTAAAGGATTGCAGTAGCGAAATATCATCGATATATCACCACAATATTTCATGCATTTGCAGGGCGATCACGGACGAGAATCGGTTAAAGGAGAGGACGATTTTCACTGCCACAGGAAAATTAGTCAGGAGTTTTGCCTTGCAAACACAGGTCCTGCATGTAGTGTATATAGCCGGACGGGATAAGTTCAAATGACAATAACAACTGTTAAACTAAAAGAAAACAATTATATTATGACAAAATGTAAAACCGTTCGTTGCCTTGTACTGACAGATACACAGACATACTTTATTCTCCAAAAACTAAATACAAGTTTACAGAGAAATTACAATTACAATATAAATACAAATACAATAGTCGAGGGTAAATATATGCAGTACGATAATGCAAAATGAAGTACAACTTTATGATGACATACATGTATAATAAACGGTTCAACTAAATATGAAGAAATCAGTCTGGTGTTATACGTTTACATGGAGGGACTAACCTTTTTATTAATACACTTAATGAGTGAACACACTTTTCTTACTTAAAACTGATTGTTTTTTAGTATTAAACAGTGAGAAATTTGACATTATATTTGGACAAAGTGAAAATTAACTTTGAAGAAATAATTTTCGTTCGTACTGGCCACTGCTTGATTTGACTACTCGTATTCCAAACCGAAGAAATATGGTAGAAATAAGTATGTTTCTTCTGCGTGACTAAAACTTATTTAAACAGGTGCTTTTCACGGAAAATTCGCCACACAAATACTTTTACGAATACTCTCAGATCGTTACTTTGTGTCTTAAGTTTTTTGTTAGTTGTTTTGCATCAACACTAAAGTCATTAGTGATTATATATATAATTCCTGAACATGACCAGTGATTTTAAATAATCACTGAAAATTTTAAGAATTATTTTACAAATTACCTGATCAATAACACAAAGATGCTTTCTTTGATAAAAACAAATAAAAGATAGACAAATAAATCATCTGTATTTTTTACACAATAAGGTTTAAGTGGACAGCTTTCATTCCCTGTCCACTTATCAAATCTAAAGTGAGCAATTTTCCAGTGATATACTATTTAACTGTGTTGAACCACATTAAATCATAGTTAAAAAAGTATTTAAAATTGAAAATGAAATACTTTTCCAATCAACGACACACTAATAGAAAATTCATCGCAAATATTTGAATGATCTTGATATAGATCACTTATGAAATGAACACCATTATCCTTCAGCTTGAGATGGTTTGGTTGATTAATTTTTATTAAGGTCCAGTGGAAAACATTTCTTGCATATTTATGAAGTTTAAGTGTTGGTGATTAGTTTTTTTAGGAAATTTATTATTTCTAGGCTTTCGAATGAAAGTTCAGTTGAATTATCATAATGTTTCCCCTTCGACGAAGAGAGATATTATGTTTAAGTAGTGTTCCTTATTCTTGTTCTTCTTGTACAACCATGTCTGGCCAATAACTTTTTTATCTTTTATAATTGACTAGGATTGTTAGTTTACCTATCGAAGGTCGGTGGTTTTCTCCGGGCACTCCGGCTTCCTCCACCAAAAAAAAACAGACCGCCACGAAATAGCCCAAAAGCGGTGCTTAAAAGTGGCGTTAAAACACCAAAAATCAAATCAAATCAAATCTTTTATTATTTACTTATGATATTGGCAGGAACGTGTATTACCTTAAGGTAATACGCGGTGTCTCATATCATTATGACCTTCATGTGACCTTGATCTTTGACCTCAAGATCAAAATCCTGGAATATATATTTTTATAATTTTATATGATTTTTCATATTTGCCACAAGTTGGAACAATCTCAAGACGATGTGTCGTGTACAATGGGCGATAAACTCTGACTATGACCTTTGGCCTTCAAGGTCAAATAATCTATTAATGTCCTCCCCAAGACCATAAATATTTTGCTTACCATGACAAGACCTTTTAAATTCATTAAAGGGTTTGCTCCATGGGGTTACGCCCAACCCCTCATACATTTTATAGTTAAATATCTCAAAAATGGTTCAGATCCTCACCCTAAACCACTTGTAATCTTAGATGTCTTAAAAAGACCTTGAAAAAAATATTTGAGATTCCATCCATATCAAGTATATTTATATACATATCCTTACTTGCCATGACAATATCTTTTCAGTACTAGAGTGTGTTTAGTTTGCCTGTTCTTTACTGTAATGACTTTCAAAGATGGAAGGGAGATAACAGCTTTCAAGTCCACTTAAACAGTTCCACCTATTTAATTCTGTCTGTTACACTTTTCTTATGACGCCAGCTACTCGTTATTTTGGTCCAATTCAAATAATTTTAATTTTAAAGGTTTCCATATGATTTGTAGATGTTCAATACGGCCATGATTTTTTTTAAATTAAAGATTCAAGAATAATTTTTGCAATTTTAGGCCCCAAATAACGGTAACCGTTCTTATCATACCTCTTTCTATGTTCTATGGTTCAATGGTTTGCAGTGTCGAGAAGAAAATAAGACTTATTCAAAATCAAGGACAGAACGAAAGTTCAAGGCCTCATGATACCATAAGAGAAAACGTAGTATCCTGCATCTTGAATCCTTAATTATAAAACATGGTCCCTATGACTATAGGAAATAAAGTATTTTTGATATTCTAATCAATCACTGAACAGCATTAAACAAATTGCGAAAGGGTTGCTATGTGCTGTTGTGACGTTATTAAACGCCCTGTTTACACATGGTCTCACTTTATAATGTCCTTGTTATAAAATCTTTTACTCACACAATTTTTAATTGATGCACCATGTCAAATATATTAGGACTATATTTTGAATACTTACAATCTACGTTTGAGGGAAGAGACATATCTTTGTATACTTGTCGATAAACTTTTTTCTTGTTCTTTTCCTCTGTATACGAATATATTTTACATCTGACAATCCCATACTGATTATAACATTTGTCGTTTGGAATAACAAGATTCAATTTTCCATAACCTCCTACAAAATAGGCACTTGCTCTTATTAAGTTTATGAAATAAAGTCAATGAATAAAAGAGTAACCAAATCGAACAACAAATCTAAAATAGTTATTAATTCTTTCATTACCCGAAATCATTGTCTTTTAATTGGCCAAAAACAATAATATTGTATAAAAAAACTGATATTTGTCATAAGATAAGTCAGAAATCGGCGGGATGAAACTTGAAATTTTTGACGGTCATATTTCCCTAAAGTACCAAAATGAATGCTACGGTTTCAAACTTTTTCTTTAGATGCTTTTTTTTTTTGGTCTTGAAGATGAGCTTCTGTACAAGTTTCATAACAATCCATAAAGGTTTACAAATTTATCACGTAATTTTTTTTTTATCCCAGACTGTCTTTAAATGTTAACTGTATAAAATGAAGGCCATCTATCAGAAAAATACTAAAAAATAAAAAAAATACATTTTCAAAGGTTTGCTTCAGACATCATCTCTTAATCATTAAAAAGCTACTGCAAAATTTTCATAAAACTCTATGAAGGTTTGACAAAGTAATTGATGTGTAACAAACTTTAACCCTAGACTGTATCTACTTGTTAACTGTAAAAAAACTAAGTCCATTTATCAGTAAAATACGGAAAAAATGAAAATAAATATTTCCAAAATTTTGCTCTGGATACTATATTTTGGTCATATACAAGCTTCTGTCCAAATTTCATAAATTTCCATGAAGCTTTGACAAAGTTATTGATGACTGAAACACTAACTTCAGACTAAGCCTGAGAGTTAACAGTAAAAAAAAACTAAGTCAATTTATCAGTAAAATACGGAAAAATGAAAATAAATATTTGCAAAATTTTGCTCTGGATACTGTCTTTTGGTCAAATCTTATAAGTAAAATATGGAAAAATGAAAATAGATATTTTCAAAATTTTGCCCTGGATACTGTATTTTGGTCATAAACTAGCTTCTGTCCCAATTTCATAAAATTCCATGTATGTTTGACAAAGTTATTGATGTCCAAAAAAAATTTAACCACAGACTGAACCTAGATGTTGACGCCGCCAACGCCGACGATGGAATCTAGGATAGCTATGTCTCTCTTTCGCGAAATAAATTTCGCAAGCTCGACAAAAAGGAAAAGTGGAACAGAAAAAAGAACAAAAGATATGTGTCCACAGAACACCGTGACCATGCCCTGCCAATACAATCACATATCCATGTTCAGTGAACCGCGATATCTGGGTCAAAACCATAATTTGGTATTTACTTTGAAAAATATTTTAATAATTTCCATCAAAGATTGGGCTTTGAACGTTCCTCAGGATGTAAATACAGACTAGCGCTTCAGACGCAACAACATTATTTAAAAAAGTAAGCGTAACCGCTTCTTAAAAAAAAAAGTGCGCACGGTTAACGCATTTACAACCCTATACATTTAAAAAAAAAAGAAGCATCTAATTCTTATAATGACATTTTTATGCTACAACCATGAAATTAAAGACTATCAAGCTTGTCGTTTGTTTTTCTTTGCATTGTGTTACCTTTGCTGTTATACTTACACATAGCAAGTTTACACAGGTATCGACTCACGATTGACCTAGTCAATTCAAATATGAAATAAAAAATATACCTTCATGTGCTACTTTTAGAGATAAATGGTGTCGAAATTTTAGACATTTACTGGAAATTTCGGTTTCTTGGACATTACTATCCATTAGAAAGACATACCTAACTTTTGTGTTTCAAAAGATAAACGCAAGCGGATTTTTGTAAAACCATTTGGAATATGATCTCTACATAATTCTGCATTGAATTTGTGTGTAACATTTCTTTAAACATTCGGAATATCTTCTCTACATAATTCTGCATTAAATTTGTGTAACATTTCTTTGGAAATAATTCATTTTTATAAAATGTTCATGATTTTAGTAAAAAAACGGATTTTTTTGCTGTATATTTATCTAAATTTTAAAAAATTTCATCGGTGATTTGTTCATAAAAGTTGGCACAAATAATCTTCACATATAATTAGGCCAAAAAGAGGGGTCAATGTACTCGTTTTCAAGTTCAATCAGTCTGAATGATAAAAATCAGTCAAAAAATGCATCTTTTCCCGATATGTCACAAATTGACCTCGCGAAAAATAACATTTTACGTTAGCGACGTCATTACCTCCCCTGTAACTGTATCGTATACCCTTAAATGTATGTTTCCGTACTTTTAATTTGCATTCCAAACAAAATGCAACATTCGTGACAGCACGTGTTTCCCGTATCATCGTCACATCAATGCATAGGTAAAAAACGAAAAAAAATGATATAACTCGTTATTTCACGGTTGTAACATAAAAAAAGTCTTAAGAAAAGATTGGTTTTTTTTTGTAATATTATAGGGTTGTAAACGCGTTTAGCGTGTGCACATAATTTTTTAATATGAAGCCCGGAAGCTACATAATGTGTTTTGGTCAACGGTTTTATATCCCAAAAAATTGCAAAAAGAAGCATTCAAATCTTTTAATAATGAACATGTGTACTAAGTTTCAATTTAATTTGACAACGTTTTCATGGTAAGTTAAATAAATTCAAAACTTATAAAACTGACAGGTGACGAAAGAATGCCCACTGGGACCGGAAAATACTGTCCCAATTCACTCTCATAGGCGGGTATACAAATTAAAAACAGCAAAGTATGTATTAGCCGAAAAAAAATATTAAAATAGATTTTAACTAAAAAAGACTGGAATTTAGAGACAGATTTTATATCAAGGTCAACATCTGTCCATATACTATCAAAAACAGAGTTTTGTTATAAATTAATTTTTGATTCATTTTGATTCTTGTTTTATCATCATCACTTGATGCTTTAACGTAAGAAAATGTTATTTACATTTAAACTCGGTTAAATTAGCATACTAGTAGTAAGGGATTAACATAAGAGACAATAAGAAGTTAAACGATGTTCTAAACACGTAAATCCAATTTGAATACACAAATAAACATGATGGAATCGCATGAACTCCAAACAATTTTGGCAATCACGAAGACGTCAAGCTTACATCGGTTTTCTCATTTTAACTTCACAAATAAATAAAATGTGCAATACTTTGAGAATTTGTAGGCATCCCAGATGCCAATAATCCGTTGCCATATATTTCATTCCATTTTAAATCTTTGTTCCACATGATATTCTTGTCTTCACCAAGACCAACGAGAGCCGAAAATGGCTTTTTCTTTGGCTTAAACTCTAGTAGAATGCCAGCATATCGCAAAGACGTCTTACTAAGTTTTTTTGTGTCTGCACAGGTCAATTGGAAAACATCTTTTTGCTGGCGCTTCTTGGCAGATAATTTGAACTTCATATATGATGTAGCTACAAAAAAACAATGAATGAAAGAGTGTAAAAATCGGAAAACTTATAGTAGTTAAAATGCAAGTTTTAGATAATAAAAAATGTCTACAAAAATAAAATGAAAAAGCATAATGAAAATCTAGCAACAATATGAAAATTTATCAACAATGTATTTATATTCTTTTTCTTCTTTTAACAATTTCTCATCGCTATATAAAACTATTTATTTGGTTTACCTGTAGTTGGGGTTTAATTCTTTCATGTAGTTCATTCGTTTTTTACCTTTCTTTTCTTTCCGAATTTTTCTATCGTTGTTTTATAAGACAAAAAGAGCAATGGAAATCATATGATTTCCCCTTTTTATCTGTAATAAACATTTCATCAACGACATATACAGCTACAGATGAATACCAGAGTATTCATGTAGTAGGAAACGCGTGGACTGTCTTGTGACCTTGTGTATAGAGTCTGTATACTTTACTTTTTTGTAGTTTTATTTTAACGTTCTGTATAGTTTTTCTTTTGCGTTATGTGGTTCTGTCTGTATGTTCTGAAGTCTTCTGTAATTCTTCGGCGATTTATACTCCCCCCGGTCGGTTGATTGATTTCTTTGATAATCAATGCGTGGGGTTCCCTTAATCCATATTCATCGTTGGTCTAAATTTAATTTTGACGTCAACTTTAACTAAAGTTAATGTGATGTTATGAAAAAAAAAGGCGATCATGCCTGATGACGTCACAAAGTAAAAGCGCATTTAATTTAAAGTTTGCCTACACAGTTGGAAAGCAGGTCACGGTTTGACCCCAAGTCTATCAGCAACAATAGAGTCACGTGACCGTGAAAATTCAGTAAAACTACGGATGAGACAAACCTCATTTTTACTCACTAAAATACCACTGTCATGATAAAAACTTATTGATCAAAATAATCTTGAATATCCATAATTTTAACTTGTCAAAACTTACACATCAACTCCAAGTCCTTTTTTCTTTATTCTATCTTCAAACTTGAAGTTTGTGTGAAAATTGTCAAGTCTCCTGGTCGAAAAATCTAAATATTTTCGAGGAAACTAAAAATGATGGGCTGAATTTAAATTTAATAAAGCATCTCATTAAGACAAACTTTACTGGGAGAACAATCCGATATACAAGCAATGCTAGGCATTATAGAATTTCACACCAAAAGGGACACGGTTAAAATTAACCCAGATAAATCCGAAATTATGTGTGTCTCTAAAGGATCAAAACAACAATCCCAATCATACAACTTCAACGGAAAAGAAATAAAAAGAGTAGAAAAAATTGAAACATCTAGGTATCACTAGAGCTACAAATGGCAAAGTCAACTTGGATGAAAGACTTAAAACAGGCCGACAAACTATATATGCCTTGCTAGGTTTTGGTCTACATGCAAGAACAGGAATGCATAGTGCTTAAAAAAGTATGGAAAACCTACGCTGTCCCACGTTATCTTTATGGCCTCGAGGTTCAAATATGCACAAAAAGGATATATCTGAACTGGAAAAATTACTAAGAAAGATATTTAAACAATTCCAAGGTCTACCAGAAAGAACAGCATCCGCAGCAGTATATATACTAATAGGAGCTGAGCCCATTGAGTCGATTTTAGACAAAAACATGCTAGCACTATTTCTCTCAATCTCTCGCCTGGATAGCTCGATAGAACGTAAAATATTAGAATGGGAATTGGAAATTAGTTCAAATTTTGACAACTCTTTTATTTGTCGTATAAATAAAATTTTGCAAAAATATCAATTGCCAAAAGCAGAAGAAATTATGGAACATCCTCCATCAAAATATATGTGGAAAAAACAATTGAAAACATCAATAAATGAATACTGGTCTTCAATTTGGACAATAGAATGTAACACAAAATCAACACTTAAACATTTATCTCTTCAAAAAAATCCGGTCAATAATCCACATAACATTTGGAAATGTGTTAGAAATAACCAATATGACATAAAAAAAGGCAGATTTCAAATGTAAGCTAGTAACTGGTACCTACATGCTCCAAAGTACTAGGGCAAAACTTAGTAAAAATGCTATTCAACCAAATTGCAAGCTATGCAATGAATCTGAAGAAACCTTGGAACATTTCCTACTACATTGTTTAAGTCTATCTGATGTTAGGCAGCGATATATGGATAAATTATTCAAAATTCTACGAGAAATAGAAAGGGGTGGTACAACAAATGTTATTAATAATGAACTATTACTCAAAATTATATTAGACTGCTCAGCACTAGACATAATGAGTAATCAACCAATAGACAAGTTGCTAGGTATAGAAGGGAAGACACAAGATGTATGCTACCATTTACACATGAAGCGTACACAACTTTTATGTGATATCAAGTGATATGAAAATATAACAGTAATATTAAATATAGTCTGAACAGTCTGCATGGGATGCCAAGCTAACTGGTTCAGTCTATAAATATCAGCATAAAAGATAATGCTATATAGTTTTAACATTTGCCTTGGTAGGGCACCTATTGACTAGTAATCATTAGGTTGTAATTTTTTTATTTATTCATATTGGTGAATCAAAGTGCCGTAATTTGTGATGTGTGAATAATATTTTTTTTTTTTTATTAATATCTTTTAATATATCATCAAAGACATTATAAACTTTTATTTTATTCACTTTAACTAACTAATTTTATTTTCAAATTATATTTTTCATATCGTAAATATAAAAATATCCGCTTTTTCGGTTAAGTATTTTTAAAAATTTTAATACTCATTCGATAAGTGGAGTGCTCCGATAAAACGGAGGAATATACCAGAACAGAACAGAACAAACACTCGATATGAATATCTAGGCAATAGAGTTTTGGATACGCAAACGTCAAGTTATTTTCAACACGAAGCGGTGGTTTTTTTGCCGATTTGTGCAAGTGGTTATCTCCCCTTGATATCACGAGTCAAAAATAAAAACCAAGCAAAATGAATAAAAAGGAGTTTACTTTACAAAAATCAAAAAGAAAATAAATGAAATTCGATTTACAAGTATGTTATTATAATATTAAGAAGAGTTACTACCCTACTTTTCAGAGAAGGATTAGGGGTAAAAATTAAAAGACAAAAAAATGGTAAAAATTAAGAAATGTCACCTAGAAACGTTACCTAGCTGATATATATAAATTAGCTCTAGTTGATGAAATTTATTTTGTAATTTTTATAATGGGATATGGGATCACTTCTAGTAGAATTTTATTAAATACTTCAAACAGTGTTTAATGCAATAAAACATACTTTACACAATTTAAATATAAATCTTTCTGAAATAAAAATAATAAATAATACTGATAATTTGAATTTTGGATTCTATAAAAAAGTGGGACCAAGAGTCACAATTGTTTCTTCAAAGTAAAAAAGCCTTTTAGCTCAATCCTATGTTTCTTTGTTGAGCAGTACTGTACTGCCTAGAAAATATCCTACAGAAAAAGGATAAGTTTACCAAAAATATTGACAGAAATTCTGTAAAAAATAATACTTAAAATTATAAGTGACATAATTTTGAATTTTAAAATCACTATTTTTGTAAAATTCAATACTCATTCTCTGTAACCACTTAAACTTTTTCGGCACACATTGTCACCGATCTTTCTGAAAATTGGCTGATATGTAGATCCTATTAGACTAGTCAGAAAAATAATGTCAACCGATATATATATTGGTTGGTTACCATGGTAACAGCAGAGAAAGTTTGGATTTTTGAGAAAAATACAATATTTGGTGTAGTGTTGTGAAATCATGCGGCTACAACTATTAAAAAGAAACACAAAAACAATTAATTTCATTCTTGATTTAGTCAAAATTCAAAAAAAGTTATGGGGAATCTACCTAGAAACATGCGAAATTAATTTCTAAAAAATGATCATTGTGCAATTTTCCTCACAATACGAATTATCTCCCTTTGATGTGTTACACTAATGACTGGACCAAAACGAAAACGCTAATAACTTTTTTTATTTCTCAAAGGATTTATGTCAAATTTGAATTGTTATAAATTTAGACCATTCAATACATAAATATAAGAAAAAAATATAGAAACCTTTTTTTAATCTTCATTAAACGTGACCTGGCCAACGTTGACAATGCCAGGACCAAATGAAAATGCTAATAACTTTTTTATTTCTTAACGGGTTTATGTTAAATTTGAAATATAATAAAGTTTAATCATTTAATATATAAATTAATAAAAAAATATAGAAAAAAATATAAAATATTCAGATAACGTGACCTTTCTAACGTTGACAATAACCTGACCAACAATAGCAATGACCTGACCGATGAAAATTTCTGTGTTATTTTATATTATTAAAAAAAAACAGGAAAAATATATGTTTTTGGTAAAAAAAACTTGACCTGACCAACGTTGACTGTGTCCTGGTCGTTGTACTACTTAATACTTATTTATATCTTATTGGATTTTCTTTAAATTTATAAAAAAAAATAGAATTAGGATTGAATGGTAAAAACTGGGAAAAACAGTTTAGGGTACTATGACGAGCACCGAATTATTTAAACTTTTTATGGTATTGAGTAGTATATTGTATTTAACTGTGTTGTAAATTATGTTGTATATTACCGGTTATAATTTGACACGTTAGATCACAAATATAAAGTAACTCAAAAGGTGTGTTTGAAGTAGGCCATACATACATGTAAGTTAATAAATCCAATATAGTTTGTTTTTTAATATTTTCTAACAGTAAATAGTTATTTTCACGTACTACTTAAGGCATGCGCGAGCCTTGTGCAGGATATCTTGGCAGTTTTTAATATTTTCATAAAAACAAATACACATTTCGCAGACTACTTGAGGTATGCCCGAGCCCCTGCATGCACGATATCTTTGTAGTTTAAAATATTTTCATAAAATATAAGTAAACATATTCGCGGACTTAACTTGAGGGTTACCAGAGCCTTGTCTTGTTTTAAATGTTCCCGAAAGTTTTAAAGCATTTTATATTTTCTTATTT